ATGCCTATTGATTTTTTTTTTTTTTTATGCCCGAGCTACAAGAAGAACTAACCCCCTCAGCCAAAGGCTCTGCTGCGGCACATGGAAGCGATTACAGGGATCACTCCCTCCAGGCATCTCCTTTCCAGGCACATGGTGTGAGCAAGGATAGCGTGTCCCCGTCACTGTTCCCACCCTCATCTGTACTCCTATCCCCATCCCCGTCCCCATCCCCATCCATATTCCTATCCCCATCCTTGTCCCCCTCCCCGTCCCCATCCCCATCCATATTCCTATCCCCATCCTTGTCCCCCTCCCCGTCCCCATCCCCATCCATATTCCTATCCCCATCCTTGTCCCCCTCCCCGTCCCCATCCCCATCCATATTCCTATCCCCATCCTTGTCCCCCTCCCCGTCCCCATCCCCATCCATATTCCTATCCCCATCCTTGTCCCCCTCCCCGTCCCCATCCCCATCCATATTCCTATCCCCATCCTTGTCCCCCTCCCCGTCCCCATCCTCATCCCTATCCCTATTCCCATCCCCATCCTGAACCTCATCCCCCTCCCCATCCCTATCCCAATCCCCATCCTTGTCTCTGTCCCGATGTGCATCCCTATCCTGTTCTCCATCCCCATCCTTGCTCCAGTGATGCTCCCAGCCCCTCCTGAATCCGCAGGGATGCCTGTGCCGGTGGGACTCTGCTCCTGGTGCCAGAGTATGACTCCAGCTCTTCCCAATTGCTGCTTTTTTAACAGACTGGTGCCGGTTTTGCCGAGAAAGTGTAAAAAGCATTTTTTTAGCATCTTAAGAGCTGTGCAAAAAGCTTGGCAGCCGCCCCTTCCATGGGGCAGAGGGTCTTCAGGGCCCCTTTTGCCCGGGCACTGGGTGGCTCTGGCCGGACCTGACGCGGAGAATTTGTGGGGTTAGCAGCTCCTCCCTTGAAAACCCAAGTTAATTTACCCTTTAAAAATATATATTAGAAGAGGAACGTCTTAAATGAAACGTCTCAGGACAGCAGGGCACAGCAGCTTGCAAATCATCGCCTCCGAATCTTCCCCTTGCAGCAGCAAGACATTTCATACCTGTACCATTTCCACCCCGCCAGCAATGGTTGGGTTTGTGTCTTCAATAGCCCCCGAACATCCCATGGGGCAGCAAGGCTGTGTCCCCCCCCTTTTCCTACCCCCTCAGCCCATCGCCACCCCCTAGGTGCCACCAAATGCCACCGTTCCCTGTGGGAGGGACATCCTAGTCCCACTCTTGGGACAGACGTTTGGCTGCATGAGGGTGTTCGGGGGACGCGGCTGGATTTGTCCCCCGAGAGCCCCACGGGGCGGGGGGGTTGAGCTTTAAAGAAAACCCGTGTTTTCTGGCACAGGGGACTCCTCGAAGGCCGAGGACCGCGGCCAGCTGGCCTGGACCCCGCTCGAAGCCCTAATGGTTTTCCGTGGCCAGCGAGGAGTCTCCCTCCAAGGGCTGGAGCCGGCCAGCTGCCTGCAGCCGAGGGGGGCGGAAGCCCATCCGGATGAGGCCCCCGCGGTCACGCTCGCCGGGAGAGCCGGGCTTCCAAACCAGCTCATCCCTGATCCCAGTATGGGTGGGAGCTGCTTTCCAGGATGCCCGGGCTGTGGCAGCTCACGCGCTGATGGAGGGGACAGGGGCCACAGTGACATGTCACCATCACCACAACAGGGAAAGGGTGGAGAGCGTCCAGCTGCTTCCCCTGCGAGGATTCCTACCGGGAATGCTACAAATGTGTCCCTGATTTATTTCTCTCGCCAGCCCACAGGGTTTGACACTTCTCTCCTTGTTATCTGGCATTCCTCGGGCATGTATACATTTTGGGACAGATGCGATACTAACGCTGGCCCAGAGCCAGGGAAGCGGGAAGAGCTCCAAGAACATGGAGCAGAGCTCTTGGCTGCTCCCAGCCTGGATTTCCAGGACCACTCTGTAAGTCCGGCTGCTTGGATTTGGGGGGGTGGGGGAGAAGTCCTTTCACCCCAACACCCCCACCCCTCCATCCTCCTATCCCTTCATCCTCCCACCCCTCCATCCTCCTATCCCTTCATCCTTCCATCCCTCCATCCTCCTATCCCTCCCTCCATCCTCCTACCCCTCCATCTTCCTACCCCTTCATCCTTCTACCCCTCCCTCCATCCTCCTATCCCTTCATCCTTCCACCCCTCCATCCTCCTCCTACCATCCCTCCATCTTCCTCTCTCCATCCTCCTACCTCTCCATCCTCCTATCCCTTCATCCTCCCACCCCTCCATCCTCCTATCCCTTCATCCTCCCACCCCTCCATCCTCCTATCCCTTCATCCTTCCATCCCTCCATCCTCCTATCCCTCCCTCCATCCTCCTACCCCTCCATCTTCCTACCCCTTCATCCTTCTACCCCTCCCTCCATCCTCCTATCCCTTCATCCTTCCACCCCTCCATCCTCCTCCTACCATCCCTCCATCTTCCTCTCTCCATCCTCCTACCTCTCCATCCTCCTATCCCTTCATCCTCCCACCCCTCCATCCTCCTATCCCTTCATCCTCCCACCCCTCCATCCTCCTATCCCTTCATCCTTCCATCCCTCCATCCTCCTATCCCTCCCTCCATCCTCCTACCCCTCCATCTTCCTACCCCTTCATCCTTCTACCCCTCCCTCCATCCTCCTATCCCTTCATCCTTCCACCCCTCCATCCTCCTCCTACCATCCCTCCATCTTCCTCTCTCCATCCTCCTACCTCTCCATCCTCCTATCCCTTCATCCTCCCACCCCTCCATCCTCCTATCCCTTCATCCTCCCACCCCTCCATCCTCCTATCCCTTCATCCTTCCATCCCTCCATCCTCCTATCCCTCCCTCCATCCTCCTACCCCTCCATCTTCCTACCCCTTCATCCTTCTACCCCTCCCTCCATCCTCCTATCCCTTCATCCTTCCACCCCTCCATCCTCCTCCTACCATCCCTCCATCTTCCTCTCTCCATCCTCCTACCTCTCCATCCTCCTATCCCTTCATCCTCCCACCCCTCCATCCTCCTATCCCTTCATCCTCCCACCCCTCCATCCTCCTATCCCTTCATCCTTCCATCCCTCCATCCTCCTATCCCTCCCTCCATCCTCCTACCCCTCCATCTTCCTACCCCTTCATCCTTCTACCCCTCCCTCCATCCTCCTATCCCTTCATCCTTCCACCCCTCCATCCTCCTCCTACCATCCCTCCATCTTCCTCTCTCCATCCTCCTACCTCTCCATCCTCCTATCCCTTCATCCTCCCACCCCTCCATCCTCCTATCCCTTCATCCTTCCATCCCTCCATCCTCCTATCCCTCCCTCCATCCTCCTACCCCTCCATCTTCCTACCCCTTCATCCTTCTACCCCTCCCTCCATCCTCCTATCCCTTCATCCTTCCACCCCTCCATCCTCCTCCTACCATCCCTCCATCTTCCTCTCTCCATCCTCCTACCTCTCCATCCTCCTATCCCTTCATCCTCCCACCCCTCCATCCTCCTATCCCTTCATCCTTCCACCCCTCCATCCTCCTCCTACCATCCCTCCATCTTCCTCTCTCCATCCTCCTACCTCTCCATCCTCCTATCCCTTCATCCTTCCACCCCTCCATCTTCCACCCCTCCATCCTTCTATCCCTCCATCCTAATATCCCTCTCTCCATCCTCCTACCCCTCCATCCTCCTCTCCCTTCATCCTTCCACCCCTCCATCCTTCTATCCCTCCATCCTAATATCCCTCCCTCCATCCTCCTACCCCTTCATCCTTCTACCCCTCCCTCCTTCCATCCATCCCTCCCCATCTCTCCATCTTCCCACCCCCCTCCTCTCCAACCCTCTCTCCTTCTGTCTTTCCCCCCCTCCGTCCTTCCATCCCGCTCACCCCCTTCCTCCCCAACCGTTCCCCTTGACACCCAGCTCCCCGTACTCCTCCCCACCCCTGCCCCTCCATATGTGTCTTGGCTGCACCACCCCACGTATCTTTTTGCCATCCATCCCTTTTCCCTCTCCACCCCGCTCCGGCTGTCCCCTGCCCTGTGGCTCTGGCTGTGGAGGAACAAGAGGGCTTTCTCCTTCGCAGCTGTTTCCCCACCAGCCACGGCTGCAGCTGGGATGGCCCCTGAGCTGCAGCTCTCTGGGGGATGGAGAAGCCCGAGGTCTTTGTTTTCTCCCTGGCCGGATGGGACCACGCGGTCTCAGGGCTCAGGGAAGGGGGGGACATGGTGGGGGGACCGATGGCAGAGCCACCTCTGCAGCTCCTGAGCAACCTGCGCCGTTCTCCCTGCAGGTGGGGACCAACGGGGTCATCTCCACCCAGGATTTCCCCAGGGAGACCCAGTACGTGGATGACGATTTCCCCACAGACTTCCCCGTCATCGCTCCCTTCCTGGCCGACCTCGACACTTCCGGTGACAGAGGGAACATCTACTACCGCCAAGACGACTCACCGGCCGTTCTGGACCAGGCTGCGGGCTACATCCAGGCTGGGTTCCCCCACACCGCCGGCTCCTTTGTGCCCACCAATGCGTTCATTGCCACCTGGGAGGACGTGGGCGCCTACCAGGAGCTCTCGCAGGACACTGAGCCCTCCAAGAAGGTGAGGCCAATGGGCTGAGGTTGGACAGCCATCCTACGTGTCGTGAGAGGATGAGTCTTCCTTGTGTGGCACCCAAAACACTCAGTCTCTTCTTTCTGGGCAGCCGGATGGTGGGTCCAGCCTTGGATGGGCATTGGGGGAGACATGGACCTTCTTCTCTGTGGTCAAAGCTACAGCGGTGGTGGGTCTGTCGGCTTTGCTGATGGGCAGAAGAGGTTTAGATGGTGCCTTCAACTCCATGGTTGGAGATGCTCAGGCTTTTCCCTGCTTTTTAGGCAAAGCTTTACAGTGCCAGTGGTTCTGGATTTACAGGGCAGAGTAGGGCTGGGGGGAGCTGGGCAAAGCCATGGCCCAGGTCATCCATCATGCTCCAGACCTTTTGCTGGTGGCTTGAGGCTGGTCCTTCCTTCTGCCCGCACGCTGATTAACGCTGCTGGTGAGGAACCGGCTTCATATTTTCCATCGTGGGTTGATTTTGTGTCTGGAAAACAAGCTCATAGGTGGTCTGCCGGGTCGGGGAGGTGACCTGTGCTCTCCACCCATGAGCTGATAAGGCTCCTGCGTGGGTGGACCTACAGAGCTGCCTTTCCCCGAAAATGCTGGATCCACTGCTGGGGGCAGGAGCCGTCACGTTAGGCTGATGACGTGCCGAGGAGATGACGGTGACGCTCTGCCGGCAGGATGGGCTTCTTGAAACGAGCTGAGTATGACGAGCTGCAAGAGGAAAGCCCTGGTGATGAATACCCAAAGCTGCGCGATGGGTGATGGGCTCTCACCGTGGCGGGGTGGGCTGAACCTGAAGCTCATGAGCAGCCACCAGGTCCCCACGAGCCACCAGGAGCCATCCCCGCCAGCTGTCCCCCCGCTCCGGGGCCCTTCGGCAGTGGGTTGCTGAGAGGGAAGCCGAGCTGGGGAAGAAGCTGAGGTTTGGAAGGAAACAAGGCACATTTTTTCCTCTAATTTAAAACTTGGGAAAGCAGCTGAAGAGATGCCATCAGGGGCCTCGCAGCGACCTCGCAGCCATCAAAAACGTGGCCTCCTCTTCTCGTCCCAGTTGGTTTTTTGGGTGGTTTTTTTTTTTTTTTTGTTTTTCTCTCTGAGAAGTTGGATCAAGTTTTAAAATGAAACCGGTCTTGCTTGGAACCCAGCAGCTCCAGGGAAAGCTTCCTTCAAGGTGCGCTGAAACGCAGCTTGTGCCTGTGCTGTGCTGAACTCCCCCTTTAGCCAAAACTGCGAAAAAAAAACCTCCCCAAAAACCCCCTTTTTTTTTTTTTTTTTTTTTTTTTTTTTTTTTCTTTTTTTTTTTTCTTTTTTTTTTTACAAAATATGCCATTTGTTGAAACGCTGCCCTCCCGCTGCTCGGAACCGGGGTTGACCTCGAAGCCTTTAGGCTTTAGGAAGTCGCGGCTCATCCTTTTTGAGCCTCGAAAGCAGAAACCTGGGTTAAAGCGGGGGGGGGGAGGGGGTGTCCCCCACCGAGAGCTCTGGCATCGCTGCCGGTGGCGCCCCGTCCCCTCCAGCTCCTTGGGGACACTCTCCTTGTCCCCGCAGTGACGCTTCCCGGGGCTGCGGAGCGGGGCGGAGAGCTGACCCCGCTTCTGCGAGAGCAAAAATTGCCCTTTTGGGGCTGGAATTTGCCCTTTGCAGCTCTTTGCAGGGAGGAAAAGGCGGTGGGGGGTGGAGGGATGGGGGG